GGACATCATGAAAACTCAACATGTTGGGTTGCATAGGAAGAATGTTTTGAAAATTGACAGAAGAGTGCCAGAATTTATCCTTTAAAATGTGTTTCTGCTTTTTAAAAAGAGATTAAAAAAAATTAGGGTAGGGCCCTGGCCAGTTTGGCTCAGCAGTTAGAGCATTGGCCTCCAGACCAGAGAGACCCGGGTTCAGTTCCCGCTAAGGGCACGCACCTTGGTTGCAGTTTGTCCCCGGCCCTGGTTGGAGTTGTGTGGGTGGCAGCCACTCGATGTGTCCCTTCACATCGATATTTCTCTCTCTCTTTCCCTCTCTCCCTCTCACTCTATCGGAGGATAAATGCAAAAATGTCCTCCGGTGAGGATAAAAAAAAAAATTAAAGTAGGTGTTTGAAGGGATTTCTCATCTTCGTGGTGTTTTATTCTTAAAATAGCCTCACAAATGTATTTAGCACTTACTTCTTTAAGTTTTCTACGTTTGAAGTTAGACACATCTACCTGACTAGTCACTTTGTGTTTGCAGTAGCTGTCATGCAGCTTTCCATATAAATCAGTCCTCTTGGTTTATGCTTCAGTTGTTTGTATAGATTTTGCAAGTAAAGAAATGCTTCTGACGGCCACACAGCCTCACACTTCTTTTTGGCAATGCAGTGTCAGGATGTATCTTTACAGTTTTAGTCTAAGAATTAGAATTGGGGCTACTGTATAATAATATTATGTTAATATTATACTATAGTAGTAGGGAGTATTCAGACTGGGGCTCATCAGGCACTGTGGCAGCTCACATTTGATGCAATATGTTGGTCATTATCTACCTGTTAAGAAGTCTGGCAGAAAATTGTGAGGGATTTCAAAGCAGCATAAAGCCAATGAACCTAGTTCTTAGACTCCTTAGTTGAGCAAGTTCACAGACACCAGTAAAGCAATACACCTTGTCTGTCTCCTAAAGGGCCTCTCAAACTTTTCTACCCAAGTGCTTCTGACTGTAGAGGCGATATGAAATGTGTACCCCAGGGGACTGGGAAATATGATCCTGAAGTTCCTTTGAAGTCTTTTATCTTGCAAATCCATGCAAATTTTACATTCTGTTCCATAATAGATCTGTGTTTCTTTTAATAGTGAAACAATATCGGGCTCCCTTCCACACATATAAAAATCTTTGTGCTCAGAAAGATGTACTGTGCTTATTTGGTAGTTTTGAGGACCCTCCCCCGCCACACACACAGAGTGACACATTTCATCCCACTACCCCCCAACATTCCCAGCAGTGACATGGGAAACTGGCATAACAAGTCAGTTTTGATGGTCTAGGCTGCACTGGTAATGGCACTTGGACCTTTGGCTGAATTTAAAAGGGGCCTTTATGAATTACTGTGCATTGATTACATTATGTAGACCTCTCTCAGTGACCCCTCTGTGCAGATCTAACAGGAAACCTGTCTGAGCAGAGACGTGGCATATGGCTTTAGTCTAGAGCTTTTCAGAGCATGTTGTGAGACCCTATAAAACTATCTTATTAATTTTCACAACTTTTAATTGGGTCAGATGTTCCTCTTCTCCCAGGATATTCAATTACTACCTTCTCCAAAGTCACCCTACCCAAATAAGTTCTCTGTAAGGTTACTTGGAAATTTTAAATAATGCATGTAAAATATTAGACATAGTTCCTTATGTATAGTAAGCAGTCAGTAAATGTTAGCTGCTATTTTGTTGTTGCTATTGTCATTGCAATATGTGCCTACTATGAGCAAAGCAGCAAATCATACACAGAAAGTGAAATTTCTTGGTAGCATATTCAAAACAGATGGCTGACCAATGAGTTGTGAACAGATATCACCTTTATTATAAAACTAAGAAATAGGTACTACTTGCTGTATGATTAAAGAAAATGGAATAACTTAGTCCTGGCCGGTTTGGCTCAGTGGTTAGAGCATCGGCCTGTGGTCCAGAGAGACCCGGGTTCGGTTCCCGCTAAGGGCATGTACCTCAGTTGCAGTTTGTCCCCGGCCCTGGTTGGGTCGTGTGGGAGGCAGCCATTCGATGTGTCCCTTTCACGTCGATGTTTTTCTCTCTCTCTTTCCCTCTCTCCCTCCCTCCCACTCTATCTAAACAAAAAATGGAAAAATGTCCTCTGGTGAGGATAAAAAAAAGGAAATGGAATAACTTAAATTCTAGAGCAGAACATACTAAAAGATAAAACCAGTGACTGTTGCCAGTGGGAAGCTGGTTTTAGTTTCCCATTATTGAGCAGGGTGTCCAGAGCGCAGAGTTCTCTGGAGGATAGTGCCTCGTGCTGGCACAGGGCCTAGCCTGTGCTGCTGGTGGAGGCTGGCGGAGTGGCTGCCAGACTGAGAGCTCAGTGTGGAGGCCCCTTGTGCACAGGCCCATGGAAGCTAGACATTTGCATGTTATTAATGGTCAGTGAGGAGCCAGTTCGGGATTTTGAATAGGAGAATAATGTACTGACTGCTTAAACTAGAAGGAAATGTGCAAGAAGTTATATCTGGCCCTGGCCAGTTTTGCTCAGCAGTTAGAGCGATGGCCCATGGTCCAGAGAGACCCGGGTTTGGTTCCCGCTAAGGGCACGTACCTCGGTTGCAGTTTGTCCCTGGCCCCAGTAGGGGTCGTGTGGGTGGCGACCAGTCGATGTGTCTCTCTCACATCGATGTTTCTCTCTCTCTCTTCCTCCCTCTCTTCCTGCCGCTCTATCTGAAGATGAATGCAAAAATGTCCTCGAGTGAGGATAAAAAAAAAAGTTATATCTGATGAAAACACCATGGTAAATTTATTTTACTTTTGTGAAGTTTCTAAGAACATATACTCTTTCTAAAGTTTTCAGAGCACACATTTGAAGGTAATTGTGGTTCTCAGTGGGGAGGTTGGCAATGGGGGTGGGCACTGTATTTGAATCTGGGAGGGGTACCATAAGCACTTTGAGTGAAAGCCCCCAATGAATTGTTCTTAAAGATAATGACTATTTTAGGAAATCCTTGAGTGTCAAAATTAGAGAATTTAACACAGAGACCCTCAGATCTAACCCTCATATTATGAATGTGATCAAGTGAACTCCTCCAAGCTCTTTGCCCAGGACTCCTGGTTCCTAGTCCATTGCTCTCTGGAGTGTGTAACATTCAAGTTGTGGGGGAGACGACGTAGGGGAGCAGACTCTCGGGCAGGATTGACCTACATGGAGCTTCGTCTTCCCTTCTCCAGCAAGCCTGAATGTTCTCATGTCGCCTTGTTATACATTTAAAATAGTACCCCTTAGATATTCATGTAGGCTGATAAGTATAGAATGAAAATAGAACTCGAACGACCACAGAGACAAATCACTAAAACATTTTGTCATATTTTCTCACTAGTCTTTTAAAAAAATACACAATTTTAAAATTAGAATTACTTTGTGTTATAGCTTGTTTTTTAAAATTAATATATCCAGCCATTGACTTATACTTAAACCTTGCGTGACTGCATCATATTAAATGCTATGTAGTAGTATTCATCATCGGGCTGTGTGTGTGTGTGTGTGGTGTGGTGTGGTGTGTGTGTGAGCGTGTAATTAAATCTCTATTGTTAGACAGGTAGTTCTCAGTTTTAAAACAAACCGATGCAAATGGAGCTAGGAGGATTAGGTGACTTGGTCATTTACACAGCAGTTTGAGTTGGTGAATGTCTGTTTTCCTTTTGCTGCCCAGGTGAGGGCAGCGAGTTAGGGGGTGGAGGCTGTGATTTGGCATGAAGCTCAGTGGGGAGAAGAACGCCTGGGGAGGGGCCGGTGTGGAGGGGAGTAGTTCCACATCTGCATGAAACCCAGAAGAGGGTGGGTGCAGGGATGGAAGAAGATTGCTCAAATGGGGGGATTTCAGTATTTTGCACAGAAATGGCTCTTTGTTTTCTCTGGTCCACTCACCTTTGCTTCAAGACTTAAAGCTCAAGATATTTAATGAGTTTGTGGTTCTCTCACACATAGATTTACGAAGCACTACTTACCAGGCCGGGCACCTGAGCACCAATCCTAATATTACTTTCCAAGTCCAGCCTAACTACCTAAACCTTTTGAACATATTATTATGAGTTGTGGGCTGTCTGCAGACAACTAATAAGTATGTTTTGTTGTCAAATGGAAATGAAAGGGCAGATACTGATGAGGCTTAGTGACTAATTGAATGTCATGAGGAAAGGACAATAATACATCAAACATGACTTAAGGGTTAAAAGCCTCAGAAATGGTGAAATGAGTTTTTGCCGATTCGTGGAGAAAACTGAAAGACGACACCTGAAAACTCATATTACATTTAAGGATCTTGTGCTGGTGAGAGAGAGGGATAGCACAGATACAACTGTAATTTATAGGTACTCCAAAATCCCTTGTTTTAGCCAGTAGTTCTAGTTGTGGCTTAAAACAATGTATCTCTCTGTATTTGTAATAACAAAGTGGGTGAATTTGCATTGCACGTGCGCATTCTTTAGTTGAAAACGATTACATTGGAGAGGGATGATACTGTGAACACGAGGTCTTAGTTCTGCTACTGATTTACTATGTGACATTGGACAAGGCATTTCACCTCTCTGGTTTCTAATCTGTACAAGGATAATTAATACTGGTTTAAATGATTTTTGCAACTCCTTCTGAACTTAGAGTCTCTATTTTTTAAAAAAATGTGACCTCGGAGGTAGAGTTGGCTATACTTTCTCAAATTTGAAAAATTAAGCAAAATGCTGATCTAGTAGATTCATGTAACTTTCAAGTAAAGCATCTTGAAGGTGTCCCTCTATCAACTAAAGAACAAATGTCTCAGTTTAATATATGACCGCGTCAAAAAAAATGCAACCACAGTAGGTGACCAAAGGGATAAGTAACTTTCAGGAATTTTGAAAGCCCAGTAGTATTTAGTATATGCTCTCTCAGCATTAAAAAGGTCACCTTGCTAATACATGTTAATTTTGAAAGTTTAATTGACCTCTGGAATTTTAATATCAACCTTTTCTGGTGTGTGTAGAGGTTGGAGCAATCACTGAGGAAACTGAAGCCTGTGATTGGTGGAGTTTGGGTGCCGTCCTCTTTGAACTCCTCACTGGCAAGGTAAGCAGTGACCGGACGTTTGGTAAGTTTACCCAGGTGCTACCTTGACTTCAAATGGAGAACATTTAGTCTTTGCCTGTAATTTTTAGATCAGAGACGAGGTAAGAAAACCATTGCTACATATATAAAAGAAGAAGGTTTATCAGGATTCCAGATTTAAAACAATAGTTGTATCACACTGAATAAATTGATGGTAAAATTCTGTTATGTCACAGTGTTAGTACACAGTAAGATATAAGACTAAATGTTTTTTTTCTTTATTTTTTATGATTTGCTTTTTTTTCTTTATTGATTTTAGAGAGGAAAGGAGAGGGAGAGAGAGAGAAACATTGATGAGAGAGAGCATCGACTGGCCGCCTCCTGCATGCCCCCGACTGGGGATCTGGCCCACAACCTGTGTCCCGACCAGGAATCGAACCGGTGACCTCTTGGTGCATGAGTTGATGCTCAACCACTGAGCCACACTGGCCGGGCTTCTATGATTTACTTTTAAACAGAGTTAAATCTGTAAGGTTCATGTCAGGATGTATTAGAATTCTTTGGATGTTTTAAACATCTTGTCTGAAATCAAGAGGGACTTCTCATTTTAGAAAATTAATGTCAATATGAAAGGTAAAATCTTTTTTTCAATACTGTAAATTTTTCCTGTCCTAGCTTAAGGACAGAATTTATACTCTCTCTGATCAATAACTTTTAAATAAGATATTTGAAATTAATAGACTTTAACAGAATACTGTGCTGATTGCCTCCTGGGGAGAGAACCGAGGAAATGAACAGTCCTGGTTTTGTAGGTAGTCATCTACCTGAAATATGTAGATAAATCTGAATTCCTAAGACAGCGGCGGAATTTATAAATCACGTGTACATACATTTAAGCCATATTGTGCTATATATGAAAAGAGCATTATGAACAAATTCTAAACTTGGAAGGTTTTTAGAGCTATCTAAAGTCCCTTTTTAGTTTTTATGTACAATGCAAGCTCTTCTATTTATGAGCCATTTTCTTTATAACTAGGTAAAAGGGCCAGTAGCGGAAGCTTGTGGTGTGATTTTGCTGACTGCCTTCATTCCAGTTAGGAGTTCTTTAGGCTGAAGGCCCTCGTCCTGTGCTGCTTAGGTGGCACCGATGATCACACCTCCAGTTGGGACTGTGGCCGAGTTCTCTGCACTCTGTCCATACACTCTGGGCTAAGCAGTGTGCCTGGTTGGTTGTTGCAGACGCTGGTCGAGTGCCATCCCGCAGGAATAACTACTCACACTACTTTGAACATGCCAGAATGTGTCTCTGAAGAGGCTCGCTCACTCATTCAACAGGTAATTTAACTGACCCATGGGCCGAGTATATCAACCATGCAAAGTAGCAGAGCCTGCAGCTCTAAAACCGTGAAGAAATTAGTTTTGAGCAAGAAAGACCCATTACTAATTACAAATTCAGAACTAATACTGTATAGCTTTAGGTTTCTGCTATTATCTAAGTATTGGTGAGGTCAGAGAGAACAGATAATGCTTGCTGGTATTACAATTTTTAATTTTTTTTCAAAAATCCAGGCTAATGTTTATAGTCAATTCCATATATTTGTGTAGGTTTAAGATTTAAGTATCGCTTTTCGCTTGGCTGGAGCTGCTCTATCTTTGCTGCTGTATTTTGTAATTATATATGAACAGCTATTTTCAGTCTTTAGTTTACATTTATAATTGTAGGAATGGGCTGCTCAGGTTGCACAGGAGAGAAGGGGCGTTGGGCAGTCTTGCCCAGTCAGATCGTTCTTAATTACCTTCAGCCGTTGATGGAACTTGGGTGTTGGTGTCAGCGCATTTTTTGGTGGCTTTGAAGAAAGAGACGATTGATAATTAAAGTTAAGGCTTGGAACTCTGGTGAGCTTCTTAAATTGGTTCCCTACGTTTGCAATGCGCGTCTGGTTGTGAGCGGTGGATTTGGTGAGGACACCGAGTGATGTCAGTGTTGTGGTGTGATAGGCTCACAGCAGACCAGTCATAAATCAGGGCTGGGGTCTGTACACGTCTATGAAAAATATAAAGGGAAAGGTTATTTGACAAAGATCAAGAACTAAAGTTTTTGTTTAATGAAACGTGAATTATTTTTTTAATCAGGGAAAACAAAGTTTTTAAAAAGGGGAGGAGGGACTAATCAATTAAGAAGAGAAATACCTAGTATCCTCTTGAAGAGTGACTTTGGTTCCATTCAACAAATATATGCAAGGCGTAGTGCTGTAAGCTGGAAAGGTGAGACGTCAAGAACTATCGCAGACGTGTGTGATAAGGGCTGTTCGATGGGCTGAAAGAATACTTGAAAAAATAAGGAGGCTCTGTTGATGTAGTAGTGGTATTAGGGAAGTTTTCTGTAGTGGTTGTTGATTTCGTGGAGCCTTAGACTTTCAGCAGGACAAGGTTGATGTGGGAGAAACAGCCAGGTGGAATGAGCAAAGGAAAAAGTCTGAAAGACTCAATGAGCTTTATCTAGAGTGGAGGGGTGAACATAGGGAGTGTGGAAAGATGAGCTGGGGTTCTCGCGTGGGGTTCTCTGTCGTGAGCACCAAGGTAGAGTGATAGTATTTCATTCGGAAAGAAATGGAGGTTTGGAGTTTTGCACAGAAGAGTGAAAGGACCAGAGCTGTACTTCTCGAAGGTTCTGAAAATGTGAAGCAGCATAGTCAGGTTGGGAATCCTGAGCTCTTTGCAAAAGAATGAAGGGATGATGCAAAGATATAGAAAACATTTTATTCTAATGGAAAAAAGCACAGCTACTCATTTGATTTCATGTTATTTGTGGCACAAAGAGGTAAATTTAAAGTAATTTTTGGTAAATAAACTGAGGAAGGCTAGCAACTGCCATTTTTTTTGTCTCTTCCTTAAAGAAGTCATTATTATACAGGGTTAGGTTTATAGTTATGAGTATGTGAAACAGTCTATTCTTGTGTTATTACTTATTACTTATTGTATTATTCTATTCTTTCCCATACCAACAACTATAAACCTACTTTGGCCCCACCCTGTATAATATTGAGGATAGAATTAATTTATAAAGGTCTCTTGCTCCTGTTTTTATTAGAAATTATGTTGTAAAGGAGTCTAGGCTTAAGGTATGTTAAATCCCCAGATACAGATACTTATCGCGTATATCGTAAATCAGCCTCCTGTCATTGGCCTGCCTAAGGAAACTACCACTCATGTCGAGGAAACATCACCAGGAAAGGGAAAAGGGGTCTCTGGCATGATTAGCAATTTGTCACTTTGACTTTCCTCTTCCACTACCTCACAGGTCATAGAGGTCCTTTTAGAAAAAACCACAAAATGATTTATATGGAAATAATTATTCTGCTTTGGGGACATTTCCCCTTTTTGGTCTGTCAGCTCCTTGCTTTATTCCTAGATTTCATAATCCCTCTTATCCATGTTCAGTCATCTCAGTCCAGTGCATGGTGCTAAAGTAAACAGTTAAATTTTAAATGCAGCTTTTAAAAAAGATACTTATATTTTACGAATCCTCAGAGCATGTATGTTTGTACTTGACAGTGTACATTTAGCTAATTATGACACAGTTGCTTTGCCAGTTGAAAGATATTATATGAGAAAGCCATCTTCAAAAGAAATCTCTGTGTCTTTATTGCTCAGCGTTACTGCCCATTCATCGGGAACAAGGAGGTTGGCAGTGTCTATCTTGGATTTGCCACTGGTTGACACAGGGTCTTAGGCAATGGAATCGTTGCATGATCTCTCTCGAGGCCTGGTATAGTATTTAAAATGGCAGACTAAACAAGATAGTCATGAGTAAAACAGTTGTACTTTGCCTATAGATTTATACTTGCAAATTTATGCAAGGGTCCATGAACTAAGTAAATTGCCTTCAGTAAAATGAAAATATGATCCTCTATTGCAATTTCATAATGAGGTCATATTTTGGGAAGAACAGGATGGAAAAGCCAATAGTAACAAAGAAAGAATTTAGATGTTTCCTGAAATATTAAAAAATACGCTATAGTCGCAGTTAATTTTTACCAATGTCTGATATTTTACATTTATATTAAAATGTCTGATGCTTTCCACATTTCAGTCAGTAGACATGAATTGTCTCAGTTTGAAAATGGGTTTCATACATTTAGGACAGTCTTATGTTTGTTTTATAATAGCTGTTCTGAACACATTTTAGCAACTTCTAATACAAAAGTTTTTTGAGCTATTAGATTTAATTAACAGTAGTTATTTTGAATGCTAGATACAATAAAATTTCAACTTAAAAGACTGTGAGTACAGTCTTTTGAAGTATATGCTTTACTTCCTTTTTGGATTCAGTAATATCAAAGTGAAGCAATAGATTCTTGGCCTGTGCAGATCACACACTCGTGAGGCAGTGTAGCATGGTGGCAAGGACATGGGTTCTGGAGCCACAGTGCCTGGATTCAAATCTTGTCTTTGCTTCTTTCCACTTTTCTGAGTCTCTGTTTTCTCAACTATAAAATAGAGAAAATAATAGTGGATATTTCACAGAGTTGTGAGTTAAACGAATTAACCTGTATTAAGCACTCAGAATGATGCCTTAACACAATAAATGTCACATAAATGTTTTGTATTATTATTATTGATAGGAGAGTGTTGAAGGTTCATGACATATAGTAATTTGTAGTGTGATGAAGCATGTAGTTGAATTATAGGGTTGCTAACATGAGAGAGAGACAACTGCTGATGATACGATTGAAAAGGTCTCCAAAAAGTAGTAGGCTGGCACATAATAGGAAATCAGATGATTTTCCCCACAAATGGAATGAATGAATCATGAATGAAAGCAAAATAGTAATGAAGGGAAAAGAAAAAATAGAAGTGGTTACATTTGAATAGTGGGACTTTCTATATGTATAAAATCATTAATGTAAAGAAATTATTTAAATATTTCCATTGCATTTGGCTAAATTCTGTGGAAAAAAATTATTTGCTATGGAAATAGTCTCAGATTTGAATGGTATAGTCATAAGAAAGTTGACAAATTCCTCAAAAAAGGAAATTTTAGTTAAATGGAATTGGCAAACAATCATCACAGTGCTCTGGAAATTGATTAAAGGGATACAGAAATCTGAAAAGTATTTATGCTTGAAAAGCAGTGGACCTTTGGGAAAGAAGAGTGGGCGTCTGGCACCCTTGCCTGGGCTGCTCCCATTCTCTTTTCCCTGCTTGGTCAGGTAGGAAGGTTCTGTAGGTTGGCACCGGCCATGAGGGCCAGCCCTGAGGCTGCATGTGCAAAGGAGCAGGGAAGAGCCCAGTGAAAAGGAAAGACCAGGCGGACTTGAAAGTAGCCTAAATTTTAATGTGTTCTACCCATTAGCAGAGGATGGCAGCTTTAGTGACTGTGGTCTTTTTTTTCTTTCTTCATTTCCCCACTCAACCTTGCCTTTTATAACCATCAGCTTATTCTCTATACCTAAGGGCCTGCTTTTCTTCTGTTTTTCTGGATTCCTCATATAAGTGAAATCATACACTATTTGTCTTTCTTTGGCTGACTTAGTTCATTTAGCATCCATGTTGTTGTAGTGACAAGATTTGATTCTTTTTCATTGCTGAATAACATTCCATTCTATATGCATACACCACATTTTCTTTATCCATTCTCTTGGTGGACACCTTGGTTACTTCCATATCTTGGCTACTGTAAGTAATGCTGGAGTGAGCATAGAGGTGCATATCTTTTTTAATTTGTGTTTTTGTTTTCTCTGGATAAATATCAGAAGCGGAATTGCTAGATTGTATGGCAGCTGTATTTTTAATTTTTTGAGCAATCTTTATACTGTTTTTCATTCTAGTTGCACCAATTTACAGTCCCACCCATGGTGTACGGGGGTTCTCTTTTTTCGACATCTCTATCTGCACTTGTTATTTGTTGATTTTTTTGATGATAGCCACTCTGACAGGTGTGAGGTGACATCTCATTGTGGTTTTGATTTGTAGTTCTCTGATGATTAGTGATGTTGAGCATCTTTTCATGTCTGTTAGCCATCTGTATATCCTCTTTGGAGAAATGTGTATTCAGGTCCTCTGCCCATTTTTTAATTGGATTGTTTGTTTCTGTTTTGTATGAGTTCCTTCTATATTTTGGATATTAGCTCCTTATTGGATGTATCATTTGCAAATATCTTCTCCCATTTAGTAGGGTTTCTTTTCATTTAGTTGATGCTTTCCTTTGCTGTGCAAAAATTTTGGGTTTGATGTATTTAATTTTGTTTTTCTTTGTTTTTAATTTTGTTGCCCGTGCCTCAGGAGATATATTCTAAAAGATATTGCTAAAAGCAATATCAAAGTGTTTAATG